TAAGCTAGACTATGTTATAGAACTTTGATGCTAAACACAGACATTTACCATAAGGATGTGACATTAGTTAACGATTAGGCGAGTGAACTTTTGATGCAGGTTAACTATAAAAGTGTAGGAGTGCGTGGTCTGCTTCACGAAGTAAAATTACACAGGTTTAAGGGGTTTTTATCTACTAATGCAATTTTTACGTGTTTTAGCTGTGATGGGTGACTTTAGGACCGAGTCCTTTTACAAACAAAAACGAAACACATTGATTAAGTAAATCACAGTTTAATTCACATATACATGATATTATACATGGCACTATTTACATATCGGTGTATTTCATTATATACAATTTGGCCTTACTTAGCAGTGTAAGCTAAACACCTACATGCCAAGCTTCTGTAGTTTAATAGTATGAATATTACAATAGGACACGCTGTCTACTATAAATAATAAGAATGATATCAAGTCTTGCACATTAGTATCGTTAACTGTGCTAGCGACATTATCGCAAGCTGAAATGAATCGCATGCGAAATATTCAGATTACAATGACAGTTTTGAATAGCGAACTATTCCCAGGTCTATCAGATGACATGCTTATTTGCTGGACACAAGAGGTGACATCATACGTCTCATCGTTACCTAGCGAACCAAGCGACACGATATCGCTGTGGGAATCGTAGGAACTACTCAGCTCGCTGTCGCTAGACCCGGTAGATTCGGTATCATTATCGCTCAAGCTGTCGCTACTGGACTGCGATAAAGATCTTGTGAATCTAGCTGCGCTATCGCTCGATGATAGCTCCGTGGCTACTCTTTCTAGCTTCATGTGTCCGTTGTTACGCTCAAGCTCGTTTAGGGGAACGTGCGTGTATCTGCAGCCGCCATGCCCATCAGAGTTATTATCTTCAAAATCGAAATCCTCGTCGTAATCGTTCTGTGTCTTCAGTATCGTTACCTCTGCCCTGGTGATCGTCTGCTTGCAACCGAACCTCTTCGGTGTCTTCAACACAGCGTAGACGAAGTAGGAAATGCTCGCGTCGTGGTCGGCTGCAGAGTAACTGAAGCTTCCCGGAAGGTTCCTCGGTAGACGATGGCGGAAGAAGAACGTGTGCTTGCCGGGAGTTTGGAAAGCCTCCATCGCCTCTGGTTGGGACTTGATAAACACCGCTACCTTTTCGTCTAGATACATGAACTGGCGGCTGCAGTTCTTATTCTTCAGCTGAGTAGCAACAGCGAGCCCTTCTCCCTCGAAGTTGATAGCCAGTGATTTCGCGGAGACGCTGCCACGGAGAACATCACCCGGCAGAAAGGTTTCTCCCTCGAGTCTCACCTGGAATTCTTCGATGCACTTCATGACTGTGTTGTTGTGAGAATCAATCTCTATCAGAATGCCGAAAAACGATTTCGGTATAAGCTCTAGAGTATACAAGGTACGGTGTGTACTCTATTGGTCTCGTGGATGCAATGTATCTTTGCTCAAACGTCTTCCTGCATTTATACTACTCGGCGTCTGTTGTTTGACCTTCCTGATCGCCAGCGTGTATTGGATGTGTAGCAGTGACGTCACAAGCAGACGACATGCTTGCGCGGCCAGTCGGCCCATCAGTTCTGCACCAACGATTTTCACAGACTGCTAATGATGTTTTTATTTCCTACCTCTGTTGCTGAAAACCTTTATTGGTAAGCAACGTGATAAAATTGTGCTTACGTTCTTGAACCTTGTTATTTGCGACAATTCTGTTGCGAAAATATTTTTTTACTTCCTAAAGATCTAGCAGCAACGAAAGATTGCCTTCATGAAAACGTGCTTGATCTGTGTAGATCACTGTTGTGTTGTTTGGTCTACCGACTATATTCTTGTATATATAATGGTTGTTGTAGATTGAAGCATTTATTCTGACGTAAATGAAAACATCTAGTTAATTGAGTTCGGTCGATAGAAAAGTTATGGACATAAAAAAGAGGAGGATCTTTCCTACATGAAATGCTATTCTACGTCTATGGATAAATATCTACCAAGCGCTAATGTTTTGTTATTCAAAATGCCATTTATAAGATATTTCTCTTGATGATATTTTGTTCGGTTCATTGTAGGACAAAATTCATTGATTATAATTTCAGCATATTTAAAAAAATTAATACATTAATATTTTTAATGAACTCGCGCAATAATCTTGGATGACTTAAATTCACTTGAATGCTACACGTAACCTTTCCTGAAAGTTGTCGAACTCACATACACATGCATGTATACAACATTGTTAACAGCGTTAATAATTAAACCGGATAATCCTATGCTTAATGGATTCTATTGCAATAATTATATTTTATCGTGGAATGGGTCATTGAGTACCGAAAATCTGTATAGTTTATTTATAATCTTTCGAAAATTACGAGACCAATAATTATTGCACCCGCGAAGGAAACAAACTATTCTTTCATTGAACTGTCTGAACCCCTAATGTGACCCTTTTATTTCCTTACTTACACATGCAGGTGCGCAAACAGCAATATAGTTGAAGGCAAACAAACATCCGTCGTATTTGAACGAGACTTAATTTGTTGTTTAGTGGAACATCTAGCTAGGCGACGTGATGGTGTCATCACTCGATCGAGTAATAATGGCACTGTTTTGCTCGTTATCTTGGGCGGTACAAGGCTGGGTCTCGGCTTAATGACGCGGAAAGTGAAAGTAGCAAAAACACCGCAACTATGTCGCGTGTAGTTACAATGCAAGATGCTCACAAAGGTGGAAGGAAGTATATGACGTGAGGACGCAGGTGTAGGCGACCTGTTTATCATATTGCGTATAAGAAAAACACCGTAATAAAGTAACGTACGGAAACATTGTCTACATTTACGAACAGCGAAGTCGTTAGAATGTAATATACATTGCACCAGACTATGGAAAACATAATTAATACGTATGGAAAACGAATTCCATATACACGCCGTGATCGTAATGAAAACGGCGGAGTTAGAATGGCGGTACGTGGCTTTAAATCATGCATGACCCTCATGTACGGATGTGTCGGCTGTGTTTTTACTGTGCCGTTGTCACTATTCTCCATATTACCCATGCACCTGCCTGGGGGATGATGTAATAATAGAACCATAGTGTTACGAATTAATGGCACATTTCCGTATCATGGAGGAATCTGAATACGCTGTAAGTGCAAGGCAAGGGCAAGATTCAAGTGTAGTCTGGACATCATGGTACACGTCAATCAATTCTATTATGATTTTCTCCCTATCATCTTAATAAACATCCAAAAACACGAAATATCCTATTTTTGCATTTGATCCCAAGCATTTTATGGATTTAGAAAAAATTTAACATTATGCTAATCGCATCGGAAGTGGAAATCAACGTGAATTGTTGAAACGCAATTCGAAGTTCTTCCTAAAGCGTTTCAAATAATGAAGATAACAGGCATTTGTCGTGTAAAGTGTGCTTTATTTTGTACGGTATGATATGAAGCCTATGTGAACTGGCTGTATTCGCATTGTGTAACATGGCAATAAAAGTTTTCTGTTCAATGGCATTATACTACTTATAACTGGTGCTTGTCCCTCGTCGCGTTTTGGGAATCTCCACCGACCACAGAGATATCAGTGCATGCACTAATAACCGACTACAGTGATGTGATCAATGCTTAACTCCATTGGTATTGTGCTATCCTCCAGACATCGAGGATGTTACAACCCCGTTACTACAAGCGAATGCGGTTGCGTTGTTTAATTTATACACATGATACTACACATGACGTAATTTAGTTTATACACGTGTCTACTACACGGAGTGACAGTAAACAGATGTAGGTGTATATTTTACTAATAACGTTTGTATGTGTTTTAGCCGTGATGTGTGAATGTAGTGGTGAGTCTAATTACAAACAAATACTATTCACACTGATTAGGTAAATCGTAGTTTAATTCATGCATGAATATCGTACATCACATTATTTACATATGGGTGTATTTCAGTATGTACAATTTGGCTTTAGTCGTGTATGCCAACCGCCTACACGCCAAGCTTCTATAGTTTTATAGTATGAATACCTACGACACGATGAGCTCTCTAATAAAAATGTAAAAAAATGATATCAAGTCTCGCACATTAACTATGCACGCGATATTATAACAAGCTAAAATTAATAACATGCAAAATATTTAGATTACGATGACAGTTTTGAACAGTGAACTATTCCCGAGTCTATCAGAGGCCAAGTTTATTTGCTGGACACAAGAGGTTACATCATACGTCTTATCGCTACCCAGCAAACCAAGCGACATGATGTCGCTGTCGGAATCATAGGAACTACTCAGCTCGCTGTCGCTAGACCCGGTAGATTCGGTATCACTATCGCTCAAGCTCTCGCTGCTGGACTGCGATGAAGATCTCATCAATCTGGCTGCGTTATCGCTGGACGGTAGCTGCGTGGCCACTCTTTCTAGCTTGCTGTGTCCGTTGTTACGCTCAAGCTCGTTTAGAGGAACGTACGTGTATGTACAATCGCCATGTCTATCAGAGGAAATTGCTTCAAAGTCGAATTCATCATCGTAATCGCTCTGTGTCTTCAGTATCGTTACTTCTGCCCTGGTGGTCGTCTGCTTGCAGCGGAACCTCTTCGGTGTCTTCAACACAGCGTAGATAGAGTAGGAAATGTTCGCGTCGTGGTCGGCTGCAGAGTAACTGAAGCTTCGCGGAAGGTTCTTCGGTAGACGATGGCGGAAGAAGAACGTGTGCTTGCCGGGAGTTTGGAAAGCCCCCATCGCCTCTGGTTGTGACTTGTTAAACACCGCTACCTTTTCATTTAGATACATGAACTGGCGGCTGCAGTTCTTATTCTTCAGCTGAGTAGCAACAGCAAGCCCTTCTCTCTCGAAGTTGATAGCCAGTGATTTCGCGTTGATCGGTTGACGCAGTATGAAGGAGACGCTGCCACGGAGAACATCACCCGGCAGAAAGGTTTCTCCCTCGAGTCTCACCTGGAATTCTTCGATGTACTTCATGACTGTGTTGTTGTGAGAATCAATCTCTATCAGAATGCCGATAAACGATTTCGGTATAAGCTCTAGAGTATACAAGATACGGTGTGTACTCTAAT